CCTTACCGTTAGGATTTAGGATATTAGGATGCCTTTATCCTCAAAAACAGGCTGTTAGGACGCTCGGCTTTCACAAGCTCTATTTTTAAGGAAATTTTTATCCTAATGGTAAAGTACCTCGGGGGGGTACTTTACCGACCATCCTAACGTTAAAGGTGTACAAGACGACTCGCTACGTTCCGCCAAACAGTCGTTGGTTCGAAACTCTGCGAGTACTTTTTTAAATTAATTTGTGACTTAAACAAAAATCTTACAACTATTAACAAAACTCTTTACCAAGTTCGATACTTATCTGAAGCTTATAAACCTCGTATGAAACTCCTTACAAATGCTCATCTTCGGTAGAGTCAAGCCTTTTTTTACTGCAAGACCCCTCCATACCAGAAGACGTTAAGATCCATAATGGTCCATTACTGGATCATTCATTACGCGTATCAGTTGATAATAAAAGTGGTTTTATCTGTTGAATCTGCTGAATGGCGCCTTGTGGCACTATCTTTGTCGTCCGTGGGTTGATGAACGGATTCGTATTCCGTTTATATCAAGTATAAAATGGTGGAGTGGTAGAGTTTGCGGCTGGTGTTCGACCGATCTAGGTTCGGTTCGTAGTTGTATAATGTTTCACGTTGTGTTTAATTGCCGTTAGGAATCCTAATATCCTCAGGTAGCACATCCTTACGTTAGGTAAGGACGTCTTTAAGTATAGGATCCTAACGTTAGGTAAGGAAAATCTTGTGAAATAGCCTTAGTTAGGTAAGGACGTCCTAAGGTTAAAATCCTATACGTAAAGACGTCCTAGTCTAAGGACGCTTGTGAAATAGGCCCCAGGGGCCTATTTTACAAGCGTCCTAATGTTAGGATTTTAACCCACTAGGATGCAATTTAAGGATAAATGGCGTTCACAAGGGCCCTTTCCTTAGGTTGGGTTAGGACTTTAGGACATTGGGATCCTTACCGTTAGGATTTAGGATATTAGGATGCCTTTATCCTCAAAAACAGGCTGTTAGGACGTTCGGCTTTCACAAGCTATATTTTTAAGGAAATTTTCATCCTAATGGTAAAGTACCTCGGGGGGGTACTTTACCGACCATCCTAACGCTAAATGTGTACAAGACGACTCGCTACGTTCCGCCAAACAGTCGTTGGTTCGAAACTCTGCAAGTACATTTTTAAATTAGTTTGTAAATTAAACAAAAATCTTACAACTATTAACAAAACTCTTTACCAATTTCGATACTTATCTGAAGCTCATAAACTTCGTATGAACTCCCTACATCTGCTCATCTTCGGTAGAGTCAAGCCTTTTTTTACTGCAAGACCCCTCCATGCCAGAAAACGTTAAGATCCATAATGGTCCATTACTGGATCATCCATTACGCGTGTCAGTTGATAATAAAAGTGGTTTTATCTGTTGAATCTGCTGAATGGCGCTTTGACGCACTATCTTTGTGGTCCGTGGGTTGATGAACGGGTTCGTATTTCTTTCATACCAAGTATAAAATGCTGGTGATCCGTGATCCGTTACAGGTGAATAATCCGTTAGCACGCACGCACAAAATGAAGCACACGCACTCACTCACCAAAACACTCACGTATACATACACGCACGTACACATTGGCGGAATTCCCAGAGATTAATGAATAAAGTCCGCTTCATCTTGCTCGCTTCGTTGGCCACCTTGGTGATCCACGGAACTTAACAGAGTAGGTCACAAGGATATCTAGGGATAATAACATTGTGGTGTGTTATTTTGTCGATATTCATAGAGCTCACCATCGTCACTGTAGAATCACTTCTAGCAGTGGTGATATATACTTTCGCTATTATTTTAATCATGTCGTAGCTAGTTTTCTACTGTTCGTTCACTTGTGTATATACAGTATCTGGGCCGATGTTTATCTCGGTCCTGCTGTTCAGTGCAATCTCGGGCTGCCTCTCCTTATCGTTCAATGATAGCTGTCTGGTCGTGGTACCGTATGATGCGATGTCCATGTATCGTGATACTCTGGTAGGGAGCTATCATTACTCATCACACTCCTTACAGTTATAATAGTCATCATGACACTGTGCCATCATCCTCTCATCATCCTAGGATGCCTCATTGTATTCTATTCTCACTCCGCTAGGAGTAACGTAACTGATATTATGGTATCCGATCTGGCAGCTAATAGTGATCTAGTAGAAGAAGCTATCACCACTCAGGGTGGGTATTCTATGACATCACCTCAGACTTCCTTCTCTTAGGTGTATTTACTCTTAAAGGTCTATCGAGTAGGTTCACCACAGCTTATCTAACTCTCGCTAATGATCTACCTGAGTGTGGTACCGCAACCGAAAAGGATAGTAGAACAGAGAGGTTAGGAGATGGTACACTCCGGACTACCTACGCCCAAAGTGAGCTCTTAGTGCATCATCCCCTTTCGATGCCGCTTGTACCTCGATACCTTGATACCATTATAGTCGCATGCACTTCCGTGCTGCATTGTCTATTATCATTATTATTATTTCCAGAGTCCATGCAGTCGAGCTCTCGTTTTTTACAATCCAGTAGCTGCCCTTCGAGAGTGATGAACTCTATAAACTACATACGACATGAGCTAGATTATCTTGGACATGAGGTTGCGCAGGTTTTAGATAAGGTAAATGACTATTATACCATGTGTTGATGCTTTTGACATATTACTATTGTAGGTGTTATCTTTTGATACATCAGAGGATGAAGTTATCAGGAGAGTAGAGGATATTCTACTTCAAGGAAGGGATAGCCATTTGGACCACATACATGTTTACACTAAGCATCAACCTCTAGATGGTGGTGTTGTGGGTATCAGAGCACCTCCGCAACAGGAGGAGGAAGAGAATACACCAGGGGATGTGAGTGGAACCACTACTACTCATGCAAGATGGAATGGAACGTGATTATAGGAGATATTTGATGATACACTGACACTACACATTGACCAGGGAGCATTCCTATTGCTTGTATTACCTCCTGGAGACTCCAACTTGTATTATGAGGATGGTCTCACTGACAAACAGGTCGTCTCATTATCCTAAGTACATAAACATCATCTCTTTAGGTAC